TTTAATCGTTTCGTGTTTGAATATTTTATTTATTAAAGTTGATTTGACTTAACAGAATTATCTCAATCTAAAAAGTGAATTAAATTTAATTATATTTATTTGAAATTATTATCGATAAAATTTTATAGCATTATTTCGTTTCTATAATGTTAAAATAAGATTAATTCAATGTATTTCATTCGTTTTAATGAAATATATAGTTTGTCAAATATAACTATTATGTTGTAATTTGAAAAAAATATATTTGATATGATTGTTTTATTTTATTTCAATTCAACTAATTTAAAACAATACCATTATTTGTTTACAACTTAAATAAGCTGAATTTTATTTAATATATACTTTGATTTAGAGCTATTTTTTATAGTGCAACTTTTTCGAACTAGTTTTTTGAAAATTTTACGTTTTAACATATTTTGCTTTCCTGTCATGGAATATTTCGAAATAGATATTTTAAACTATTTTTTCGCTAAAATATTAGATATATGACATGTTACTTTGTGAAGCTGAGATAAGCTAATTAATTCTTTTATCTTTGTAATTTAGAATATATTAGATGTAATGTTCGTGCTGTTCATATCAACAGACAAATGAATAATATATTTTTTGTTTTGTTAGAGATTCCTTTCAAATGTTCCAATTTTTTTAAATTCTATATCGAAAGCAAAGATTGATCATACGAAAAACTAGTTATAGAAGCTTTTTCCTTTTTATCTAATCATAATTCAAAACATGATCTAATATAAACAACTATTGAGTGTTATGATAATATTTTCTCGATTTTTAGTTCTATGCAAATATGAAATTCATCCAGCATCTCAATTACAATTATTTATTTCTTTAATTGTAAATCATATCAATAGTCGATTTAATACACGTAAATTATTTTTTATTTAGATTATGTATTTTCTTGTTTCGGCTATTCTATCGATTAACTTCACAGCAAGCTAATGCTTTTTTTGCTATTTTTCCTGCATTTTTTATCTGCAGTAAATATTTATGTTTATTTTCTATAATTTTTACAATTAAATAAATATATAAATAGATGTAATACATATATTATTCACAGTAGAATACTTTCTTGAAAGACACAATTTGAAGTGAAATTAAATACAGATATAATCAGCGATGAAATGTTCAGAAAGTTTTCGGTAATCTAACATGAATCATTTTATATTATATATGATTTGACATAAAGATGATACAGTAATTATAAATTACGATTTTATTAGAAATGTTCGTTTTAAGACTAATCTGTAAATTCATACAAGATCATATATTAATTTCATGTATAATCTTGTCAGAATCATATAAGAACTTATAGTTAGATTATTGTATTTGAATGATTGAAAAAATCTGTTTTTCAATTGAATATTGTTAAGAAAAGTTGGTATTCTTATATTAGCTGTTAGAAATATACGTAGTTGGAGTTTTTATCAACACTCTGTCCTTGACTGGTACAGTCATCTAATGAAAATATTTAGGGTGTGGGTGTGGGTGGGCGGGTGTGAGTGTGGTTACCATGTGTATCTGGAATACACTGAAACATCCACAACCACACAACACCCACACCCACACCCACCCTTAAACTACGTTAATCTGTTTCTTTTTTTTGTATTCATTAAACCTTACAAATGGCCAATAATATTTTAGATGCTTTTATTGAAATGGTTAGAGGCTCAACATAGATGGAAGAAATTTCAAAAGGTCATGCTCAACGTTGCCAGATTGGAAAGTAAAAAATTCGATAATTTTTTTTAAATCGGAAAAAAATCGAAGAGTGGTTTTTCAGTGCCTAAATACCTAATATGTT